ATAAAATTTATTATTCCATTATAGCGATGCATGTCAGAAAGTGTTAATCAAGAGGAATTCACTGAAATAAATAATTAAAATTTAGTAGGACAGTCTGTCGTTTATATTAAAACAGAAGAATGTTGTGCAAGACAACTCCCAATAAAACCCATCATTCAGTAACAGAACATACTATTTGAAAATGATGTCTACAATCTAGGGAACTAGACAGACATCTAGAGGGCAACAAACAGCTTTCAGTGATGGACAGGTGTCTTTACAATATGCCAAGCTCTAAATCTCCCCAAGTCTCTAAAATTTTTGAATAAATCTAATAGAAACAATCTGCCATCAACATGTATTTGTGGGTTATTTCTGAATAGTTTTTTTTAATCTGGTACTGGCTAGTTTGACCTTGTATTTTAACTATATATACTGTGATTTTTATCTATATTGTCAATGCGGAATAAGTTAGACCAGAAGCAACATTATGAGCTGTAGCCAGCAGTATAAGATCTGCCATTGCCTTCTTTAATTATATTTAATAAAGTATTTGAACGTTCCGCATTCGAGTCATCAATAGCCTTATTCCACCTGGTCACATTTACTGCACAAAGGTATCGTGGTACCTAAAGATGTGAATGCATTCATTGCTGCTATCAAATCAAAACGTACTATACAGTTTTTTCGACTGGTGCCCGACCGGTTTCAAAGTTGGAATCAATTATCAACCCCCAACAGTTGTACCTGGTGGCGACTTGGCTAAGGTTCAACGTGCTTTGTGCATAATGAGCAACACAACAGCCATTGCTTAGGCCTGTGCAAGATTAGATCACAAGTTTGATTTAATGTGTGCCAAACGAGCTTTTGTTTATACGTAGGGGAAGGTATGGAAGAAGGAGAATTTTCAAAAGCCAGGGAAGATTTGGAAGCACTAATTATAGATTACGAGGATGTCGGCATAGTCTCTACAGATGCAGATGAGGTAGAGTTAAGGAGAGGATGATTGATTAAAATTAAACAGACGTTAAATCAAAGCATCGTCGATGTAGTGATCCAGCCATATTCATAGCTAGTCTCATATTCTTTCTGACCATACTTTTTTCTAATTTTTTTTATCGTTTCATTTCCAATCTTACTGTAAAATCTCTATGTTTTTGTCCAAAGGTAGGGAATTTTGCAATATTGATGCAAATATAGATATATATACTGATCTTTCAATTTTAGGCTCTGTCAGATTTTATTTTTGACAAGAATGGAAAGGAAAACCGTCAAACAAGTAATATATTTTTTATATGCTATTAATAATGACAGGTTTAATAATTTCCAGAAAGAGGCCTTATAAATGCACCTTCTCAACAACAAAAATTTAAAAAAAATAATAACTATTTTTTATCTTAATTGGTGTTCATTCTTCATTAAGAAAAAATACATTTCCTGTATTCAAATCTGAATGTACAAATACCTAATGCTGAGATATTTCCAATTACTGTTAAATAGCAATTTAATGGGATATAAATGTAAAACAAACAAATAAATTTTATTGCAGAAAATGCTCAGGTAAGAGTTATGCAATTTTGTTTAATATTTCAACCAAATTTCTGATAATTGTAACTCATTAATTAGATCTTGATTATTGACTTATGTCAACCAAATATCAAATCAATATCTTCAAGAACGAAGAAAAAAGTGTGGAAAGCTGATTTGCCGGACTGACGGATGGACAGACGGACAGACGGACGGAGTGCAAACCTAATTGTCCCCTTCGACTTCGTCGGTAGGGGACTAAAAAACCACATCAGACTAATCATTCAGCTAGCTAGCAAAATTAACAGAATATCTTAATGTAGTGTAGATCAAAATAAATAATACATTTGTAGGTTTACTATTGAGGTCAAGAATGTGTGTATTCAGTTAGGTGTGTAACAAATTGTGTCTATTTAATTATGTAACAGGTCATGAGATATTAACTGTTTTGAATTAAGCCTGGGGTTGTTTCTAATTAATACTTATTTGAAAATCATGACAGCTAATAATCATTCTGACTCTTACTTGACTATGGAAAGAATTGGAGTAATACCATTTCAAAAAAGAGTGGGAATCAACTTAGATATATTAATACACGTTGACCTACATTTCATTGAACAATAATTTACACAAGCACAAGATACTAATATAATACTTTCAAAATTCTTATCAACTGATTCAATTGATGAGCAAATACTTTTACAAATTAATTCATAAATAGTAAATCATCATAAATTTTGATTTAGAAAGGAACTATATGCAAGTGTATATCTAAAATAAAGTCACTATTCGACCAATCTTTTCTTAATTTAAGAGCAAATAACATGTAAAAAGTTTGCAGTTGATGATTAAAATGGTGTAGAAAGTTTCTGCAAGTCATAAAAACACATAATTAGTTTCATGATATGTCTTCAACTTAGTATTCTGCACCATCTCCAAAAACAGAGTGGTCACATAGATCCAGCATGGCTGTTCAAAAACTTGAAATTACACACTTACCTAGTATGGTCCAATATCCAAAATATGGTTATAATTAGCACATTAAAGAACCCAAAGAATTTAATTTTTGATGAAATCAAACAAGGTTTAATGTTGGACCCTTTGGACGTCAATGTGGACCAATTTGATAATAGGGCTCAAAATCCAAAATCTAAATACATGGTTAAATTCAGCATATCAAAGATCCCCTTGAATTCATTTTGTTTAAATCGAAAGAAATTTAATTTTGAACCCTTTGGACTTTAATATAGAGCAATTTGAAAACCGGTCCCAAAATCAATAAATTGCTTCGCCGAGCGCAGCTGGATACAACCACAGAGGTCCAACCCTGAACAGTTGGGGAAAAAATTGACACAATTTTCGCGCTTGATACAGGTCTGAATTTGGATTGTAATTCAATATTTGACACATAATAGGTTTCTGACACAGAATAACTGTAGTCAAAGAACTTACAATTGGTTATATGATTTGAATTTATATTGAATTTTTTGCTTTTGTGCTGTTGCGAATTGACCCCCCCCCCCCCTTTCCAAAAAAACAATTTGAAGGATTTTCTTTTTGATTTCTGAAATCTTGAGGAGAAAAAAAATTGTCTCCCCCCACCAATTTTTTTTTACCCCCCCCCCCCCCCCACACATTTTTGTTTAACCTCCCCCTTTTCCACAGTCATGGTCATAATTTCAATTCAAATTTCCAATGGGGTTTCCAACCAGTAACTTCTAAAAATGAATTGACAGCTTATCACCTCAAGACAATACAAAAATTCTTTATACATAATTTAAAAGCAGTGTAAAGGAGCTGATTCAAGGTTGTGTTTGAATTACCTCCCTTACACTGTAATTTGTACTTAAGTAATTGTCCATTAACCAGGACACCCTTGTTTTTCTCAATTTTTTGCCCCTAATTCCTAAACGGTTGGAGCCATAACCCCCCAAATCCAATTCTAACCATCCCTATGTGGTATGGAAACTTGTGGTATTATTTCAGAGAGATCCATACACTGTTCCACAAGTTATTGTCATGAAACTAGAAAAATGCTTATTTGGGCCCCTTTTTGGCCCCTAATTCCTAAACTGTTGAGACCATAACCCCCAAAATCAATCCCAACCTTCCTTTTGTAGTTATAAACCTTATCTATTTACTAATACTAAAGTTATTGTCTGGAAACCAAATGTCTTCGGACGACGTGACACCAATATACGACTGCAAAAAATGTTGCAGTCGTATAAAAATCTAAAAACACGACTAGATTCAGCATATCAAAGAACCGCAAGAATTCATTTTTTTTAAATCAAACAAAGTTTAATTTAAGACCATTTGGACCTTAATGTTGACCAATTGGAAAACAGACTCCAAAATTAAAAATCTAAGTACACTGTTAGATTATGCATATCAAAGAACACCAATAATTAATGTTTTGATGAAATCAAACAAAGTTTAATTTTGGACTCTTTGGATCTTAATGTGGACCAATTCAAAAACGGGGCCCAAAATCCAAAATCTAAATACACAGTTAGATTCAGCATATTAATAAACCACAAGAATTCAAGACTTTGAATTAAACCCCATTGAAATTGGTCAAGAAATAAGCAATTTATACAAAGTATTAGGCAAGTATTGTTTTTGACCCCTTTTTCCTTAACGGTTAGGACAATAACCCCCAAAATCAATCCCAACCTTCCTTTTGTGGTATGGAACCTTGTGGCACTATTTCATAGAGATCCATACATTTATTGTCAAGTTATTGTCTGGAAACCAAATATCTTCGGATGAGAAAAAATTTTGCAGTTGTATAAAAGTTGCAAAAAATTTGTAAAGTTTATATTTCAGGGCCAAACTCAAAAACAGGTTTACATTTTTTTCTCTCAAATTTTTTAGAGTTAATTGATCTTGTCTTGCTGATAATCTTTACATGTACATGTACTTGGTATTTAGTGAAGATTATTTCACAGGAGTGCTTCGTGCCAAAGGATTTTAAATACTTGTTTGTACCAAATGAATTAGGAAATTTTACTTCCACATGTCATCAAATCTTTATAAAATCTTTAAAATATTGAATATTTCTATATTTTAAAAATTAAAAAAGTAAAAAGGAGTGACCAAATTGTCAGATAATTTCAGGGTTTAAGAGAAATATAGAAGGTATTTGAGTGTGAATAGTCAAAACATCACCAAAATTTTGATAAATCAAAATGGTGGTATAGTGATCTTAAATTCAATGTTCCGTTTATAACAAACAATCTAAGAGAGAAAGATTCAGGAGTATTGTCTCATAGAAACAGGGTTCACAACGTGTCATTATACTAGATGATCAAAGACAATCCTACTTAGTATGAAACCTTTGGTGCAAAAAGTCTACCTAATAAAACGCTTCTGATGTGTCATTATGCTACAACAGCCTTAAAATAGTGTAGTTCCAATCATTCATGTAAAATTGTAAAATCAATGAGGCAGTACAGTATGGTCAACTACAAATAATGACAAACAATCCTACAACCAAGTATGAACGTTTTAATGCAAACAGTATCACAGGAGAGATATTCACAAACTGTTTTTTATGAAAGAAACCAATTCTTTGTTGAATTCAATGCGAAGGGGGATAATAATTACCAGCCCTACGATAAAATTGTTCAAATTTCTCCTCACAAAAAGTCAACATAGAATTAGCCGTGGTCAACCATATCAATCTTGATTAGTTATATCTGGGACTTTTTCAGCCGTAAATTCTTTCTTTTCTGTTAGTGCTCTAGATTGGTGAAGATAGACTGCAAATACAATGCCCTGGAATAAAAGATAAACATAGAAAACTGGAAATATTTTTTTTTTAAATTGAATAAAATAATTTAGTATAGTTTTTTTGTATTGTTGGGTAATTGTCTCATTGATGTATATATATCTAACATCTTGTTTATTCATAAACAGGACGCATGGCATACATTTAATCTATCTCTTTTATGATATCAGAAAGATTTACACAATTATCATCATTCAAATATCTGTTTAATGATTCCGAATAATATTTGTGTGTGTCGTTATTTGCTGCATCATTGAGGCATACCTGACATCTTCTGCTATAACTATCTATAGGAGTTTGATTGATTGTGTTATTAGGACTCAACAATTCTCATTCTTTTACTATTTGAACATGTTGAACACCTTGCTGTTGTAACTAGCCTTACCTAATCTTCATAAGGTCTAAGAAATAGCTGTCCTACTAAAATCAAATGACCAAGATTCTATTCCTGGGCTTTCTGTCATAAAACTTTATTCAGTATACACGCTTATAAAAATTTCGAGCACGATTTTCGTACTTGGATTTAGAAATCAACCAATCAAAATACTTGATTTGGTGTTTCAAGTACAAAACTTGTAGACCGAGTACTGAGTCAAGTTTTATGACCGAGATGCCTGGCCTTTCAATGATTGTTTTTATCGTTTGAAATTTCAGAACTAAAGGGCCACAAGTATTACCACAGTATGTTGTACCAACCATACAAAACTCTGACGTTATGTCTCCATTGTTATTATCAGTTTCTAAGTTACAGAACTAGTGAAGTCTTTCTATCTTGCATTGAATATTATCAAGGAATCCATGGTGAATTTCTATACTTTTATAGAATAATTATGAATACTATATCAAATTGACCCACAATTAAGGCGAACACATTGTAAAATTTCAAGTTGAGGCTAAGACAGTAGGCAGATTAAAGTTATCTTTCTTTACTCATTCCACTGAATGTGTCTTACTGAACAACTGCTTGAGTCTCTCTCCTACTGTTAAACAGAAACAAATTCACTGAACAGCTGATAATAAACTAATACATAGTTTGTATCAATTCATATTCGACCTTCAGCATGTTCAGAGTCAATTTCATCTGTGTTTAATGCAAATAAAGGGAGTTCATTACTAATATAAACAAGAACCTCACGCAGGAGTCTACATCTATAGTTGTTTTTATGTCAGCTGGATTGAACATAGAGCTGGGAATAGTATACTCACGTTATTATCACACCATAGATATAATACAGTTATGCTTTTCAGATCTTTGGTAGTTTCTGTTAAATTATTTCACAACTTATCACTTTCTACACTGTATAATCGCTTCAACTTACAATAGGACAAGCATGCCCACTTTCAGGTCTGCACAAAATATATTTTGAGCTCTAGATTTTAACGTTTAATGATCATTGATGCTTCTCCTATACCTCTTCTCAAACAATAACAATGATGAAAAATAAACAAACAACAATGGATAAATAAAGGAAAACAAGATAACACAGATCAGGAAAAATGTATTAAACGAAAAGAAAACGTGTAAATATTCACTAACCACCAAACACATGTGTATTGGGGTCAGTATGTATAGTGTATGCACATGCATATTTATAAATCCATAACCACTCCAGATAAAACAAACTCAATGTAGAAGTTACCTGATGCTCTGCTGCTCGAACAAATCCTGAATTAGCAGATACTGTAACACACTTCAGTTGGTCTCCAGTTCCAAATATAATCTACAAAATATTCTCAAAATAATATAGCAAGATCAAACCTTCTATGTGAGGCATATACGTTTTGACGAATACAACGACAGAGAGGGTACAAAAAAAGTATATTCTGAACAGATATATCATGTTAAGGAGGGGTATTTGCTAAAAATACCAGTCGAGAGAATGTTAAATTTCGCGAGCCGTAAGGCGAGGGAAATTCATTCTCAAGACTGGTATTTTTCGCAAATACCCCTCAAGAACATGCTATATCTGTTTAATTACACCGAATGTTAACGTTCAAAAACGCATTGATGATCGTGACGTTACAAGCGTCCAGTCGGATAGAGTATTTTTTGGCAAATACCACGACAGAGAGGGTAAAAAAGGCATATCCTTTTTGCATATACCCCGGCGGCGTTAAAAAATGAACGATATTCATTTGATAACAGTAAATTGGTGAAAAATACACTGGCTTTCAACCAATCAAAACCCAGGATTCTTACATAAGGTGTAATTATTTAAGATATATACACGGCAATGATAAAATATGAACAATATTCATCCTTCAATAAAAAATACATGAACAATACATCAGTTATCAACCAATGAAAATTCATATACTTATATAAGGTTTAATATGTTAGAGATAACATGACACAGGCCAATAATAAACTGAAAGCACAATAAAAAGAAACAAATTTATTCAACATAATATAGTTGTTGACAAATACATTGGCTCAATGAAAAAATAATAATCATAATGTCTTTATTTCGTAAGCGCCTTTAGGGAGCTACCATTTGATTTTTATGGGGGGGCTAGGATGAAAAATTTTGACCTGCCTTTTTATTTTTCCCTCTATTCGGTCCTGCCTTTTTATTTTTCACTCTATTCGGTCCTGCCTTTTTTTTTTAGTTTATCCTGACTTTTTTTTTACATAAATTGTCATCCTGCCTTTTTTTTTGCAAATAATCTCATCCTGCCTTTTTTTTTACTCAAAACTCCTGTCCTGCCTATTTTTTTCAAATTTCATCCTAGCCCCCCCCCCCCCCCCCCCATAAAAATCAAATGGTAGCTCCCTTACTAGTAATTTGGAAATGCAAGGTGTAAAAAAAAATATAATCTTTCTTTAATCATACATAATGTACCTTCGATCTGTCCCTAATTTTTCCAGTCTTTGGTAGATTCTGCGATCTCACAGAAGGCTGATCTGAGACCATTTTACATTTTTCTAAAAGTTCAGCTGCTCTACGTTTCTCGTTTTCACCACCCAAAGTATTAAGAATAGTCTGGAAGTCATCTAGTGCCGTTTTACATACATACATTTCCTTACCTGCAATTTTAAATGAATTATACAAACAATACTTATGGCATATTGATATATTAATTATCATTGCTAACAGAATAAATGAAATGTATAATGAGAGAAACAACTATAATATCAATATATAAACTGTGTATGATTCATGACTCATATTATAATGTAATATATATAATCAAGATATTTGAAATGATAACTTTATAGAGGAGGCATGTTGTCAAAATAGTATTGTAATAAATATTAATAATAATTTTTATTTTTTTTCGATACTACAAGTTGGTATTGTTTTCTGTCTATCGCTTTGTTATTTATATGTTTGTTTGTTTGTTTGTTTGTTTTTTTTTTATTTAGTAACAATCCTATTGTTTGGATTTTAGACTAATAAAATTCTTATTATGGCACCCTCAACGGAGTTGGGGTGACATATTGTTATTCTACGTTTCTTTTTTTTTTCTTATTATGGCACCCTCAACGGATTTGGGGTGACATATTGTTATTCTACGTTTCTTTTTTTTCTTATTATTTTTATTATTCTTCCTCACATTTTGTCCACGCTGTTTCTCAGAATTGAGTGATACAATGTTAATGGAACTATACTATAATGAGGACCCCCATGTGAAGTTGTGCATCTGACTCTGGAATTCTTTAATATGGCCGCCGTTTCCATGGAAACTGCAAAACAGTGAAAAATTTTCAAAATTCTAATTCTTTCATTATAAGACCTAGCTGGATGAAACTTTATGGTAATGTTCCTTGGTATGCCTAGATGTTGTGACAATATTAGGAAATTCCAAAATGGCCGCCATTGTCATGGAAACAGGGCGAAAGTTTAACATTGACCCTATGGGAAAACACATTGAAGCTGCATTTCCTGCAAGAATGTTAGATCAAACCTTCTAGAACTTAATGGATATGTAACATGACATATCCCAAAGTGGCACCTATTTTTTGGAATTTCGGAAATTGTACCCGTTACTATGGAAATAGCAAAAAATTTCAAAAATTTCAAAATGCTCCAAAATTGATGAAACTTTACAACAATGTTAATAGACATCTGTAGATGTGCTCTTTGACTTTGGAATTTTAAAAATGGCTGCCGCTCACCTGGCAAAGGGGGAAGGGTGCCATCCGTTATTGCTAGCAATTACAAATCTAGTTCTTATTCTTATTCTTATTGCAGTTATCCCCTTTAAAACAATAGATCCAACATTATATATTTGGGACATCAACATGTTAATTAAAATACGAGTAAACTACTTAGTAAGTATTTATATACTTTTTCTCCACCAGTTATTCAAATACCAACGCATATATATACTGTCAGTATATACCAGTTGAGACAAAGTAAATTTTCCCGAACAACTAGCCATAGAAGATTTCATATGAAGACTGATATTTCTGTACTTTTTGTGAGCGCTCAATTCTCCCCTTATCTGGGAGAGAGGTGTTATATGTTACAACACAACATAAGAACAAACTATACAAAATCAGTCACAAATGGTTTAACTCAATAGGTCGGTACCACGCACGCACAAACAAACAAACATAAAAACAACAGACACAAAGTACCGATATAACACATCCGATATCCCGATCTGAAATCAGCAGAGGGATCCGAATCCCGAGGAGCAATTAATAAAAAGTTTGTAATGGTGGGTAAGTAAAATCTGGATTCGATTCCCACGAAGTATAATTGCTCTTGGGATTCGGATCCAGATTTTACTTACTCGCCGTTACAAACTTCTCATTCTAATATGACGTTCTTCTTTTGCTTTGGAAACAAAGCCATGTTCTAATTCCATTTCTAATATGACGTGCTTCTTCCGCTTTGTTAACAACACCTTGATAAAATTCTCGATATATTTATACTTAGCGCAGACTAAGAGATGTACATAATAATGGCTTTTACAATATACCTCCCACGTAAATCCACATGTATCGTAACCTATGTGCAAACGCTATGCCAATTTCGCTGTATTAAAAATTGAAATTGAAAAAAAAACTACAGAACCTTTATTCTTATTTAAATGCATAACAAAAAGAATAAATGCATCAGATCTAGGAAAAATGTACAAAATCCAAATAAAATAAAATTCCTCGAAATTCTATTAAGGCTTTTGGCGCATTAACGTCATTTCAAAACATGACGTCATACGAATTAAAAGAGAGGGACGAAAGATACCAGAGGGACAGTCAAACTCATAGATTGAAAACAAATTGACAACGCCATGGCTAAAAATGAAAAGACAAACAGACAAATAATAGTACAGATGACACAACATAGAAAACTAAAGACTAAGCAACACGAACCCCACCAAAAACTGGGGGTGATCTCAGGTGCTCCGGAAGGGTAAGCAGATCCTGCTCCACATGTGGCACCCGTCGTGTTGCTTATGTTATTACAAATTCGGTAAATAGTCTAATTCGGTAAGTCACATTCGTGAAAAGGGAAGGGTATTGTAGTTACGACATAAGGAACATATCCGATATCATCTGTGAAACGGTTATTCCATAACGGTCAACCAACTCGTGATGGCGCCCGTAAAATTTACGAAGGGATGACTTCAACTTCACCATTTGGAACTCTTGGCTTAATAGCTTCCTTGTGAGCAGCAATCCTCTATCAAGGAAATCATGATAGGAAACACAAGCCCGGGAATATCGTATCAATTGGGAGATATATACTCCGTATGCAGGCGCTGCCGGAATGTTGCTACATAGAAATGGAAAGTTCACAATTGGGAAGCTGAAATCATCTCTTTTGTCGTAAAGTTTTGTTTTCAACCGACCCTCATTGTCAATTTCTAGATGTAAGTCAAGATATGAGGCAGACTTAACTGTATCTGTAGTATCCTTTATCTCTAGTTCGATGGGATAGATTCATTCAACATAGTCACAAAATTTTGTATTATTTAGTGAGAGAACATCATCTATATAGCGGAACGTAGAGTTAAAGGATGTTGCTAACTTCTTATCTTTCTTCCTAAGAAGTTCCTGTATGAAGTCAGCCTCATAATAATAAAGAAACAAGTCGGCAAGAAGAGGGGCACAATTGGTTCCCATTGGAATTCCGACAGTCTGTTGAAAAACACATCCTCCTAACGTAACAAATATGTTGTCAATCAAGAAATCAAGCATCTTGATAATGTCAGTTTCAGAGAATTTTTTGTTTGAATCAGAGTGATTCTTTACAAAGTAGGATTTATCCGTCCCCAAGACAAGATACTTGTATCTACGTTCGCCATTCTTTTTAATGAAACAAAGTAATACCAACTCTTTCAATTTGTCTTTTAGTTTGGAATGGGGAATACTTGTGTAAAGTGTAGAAAAGTAAAATGTTTTAATACTATTGCAAGATGAGAGAGTCTTAGATTGTATGTACTCTAAAAGATCTAAACGCTCAAGCTGAATGTTTTTCCTTTACGTGAACGCTCCAAATTCGGATAATGCTGCATTTAAATGGAGTTTTCAGGTAGGTGTTGTTTAATTTTCTATCCTATTGCATTATTCGCACATTAACTGATTTCAGCAAGTCAACATGGCGGCTTCATAGTTACGAAATGTCAACTGTGGAGATAACGGTAGCTTACGAAAAAAAAAGTGAATAAAAAATGGCAAATGTTAGGATTGAGAATCAAAAGAATTAAACACATTTTTTCTAGCGGTTATTCAAGAAATAACAAGCATTCTGTGAGTATTGCCTAGCAATACATAGTCCCCTACCGGTTAAAAATTCGTTGTACTGGAACAAAATGCTAACTTGATCTATAACTTGTCATGGTGTAAACTATATAACAAATAGCAAGTCAATATCTTCAAGCATGACGAAAAGAAATGTGGAAAATTGATTATTTGAGTGAATTTTCCAAGTCCAAGGACCATAACTCTGCACAACATCATCAGACCGGATCCAAATTCGAACTTGATCTGTAACTTGTCATGATAAAACTACATACCAATTATCAAATCAATATCTTCAAGCATGACGAAAAAAAGTGAGGAAAACTGATTATTTGAGTGAATTTTCTAAGTTCAAGGACCATAACTCTGCACAAAATCATTAGACCGGACCAAAATTCGAACTTGATCTGTAACTTGTCATGATAAAACTATATACCAATTATCAATATCAATATGGACATTTGTGTTGGTGTTACTCGCTAGTAAGTTCTAAAAAAAAGTTTAAATGTATCTGTTCATTTTTTATCGTTAAACTGTTGATTTTCTATAACGTTTTGGTTCATCAAATCAAAATGGCTGCCTTTCGAGCGTGTATTATAGGTCCGCTTCAAAGTACAATAGATCAAAATTTTCCAATTAGAAACGAAATAATTCTATCATGCCATACTCTATGCTCATTTTAACATGGGTAAGCATTATATTTGTCATTATTTTACACCTCGCTTATGCTCGGTATAAAGATATTGACAAATATAATGCCTACCCATGTTAAAATGAAGGCTAGTTCTAAGCCAATTACGACTAATAAATAAATCATGTTTTCCTGACTAAAGTATCGATCAGTACACATCCAAAGGATTTAGTTTAAAGACGTCATAAACAGTCTCAGAAACGCATGAAATTTAAGTCAACAGTATCTAGGATCATGAAAACGCATAACTGTACATTTAAAGCTAAACATAATTGTTAAGTTATTTAATTTATCCAAACAAAATTAATTCAAGTACCAATAAAAACAGTATTAAATAAAATGCTCCGCAGGGCGCAGCTTGATACGACCGCAGAGGTCGAACCCTGAACAGTTGGGGCAAGTATGGACACAACATTCAAGCTTGATACAGCTCTGAATTTGGATTGTGATTAAATATTTGACACAGCATAGGTTTCTGACACAGAATGAATGTGGTCTAAGAACTTAAAAATTTTACATTGGACATTCACCTATTATGGTCCAATATCCAAAACCTAAATACATGGTTAGATTCAGCATATCAAAGAACCCCAAGAATTAAATTTTTGATGAAATCAAACAAAGTTTAATTTTAGACCCTTTTGACCTCAATGTGGACAAAAATGATAACGGGACCCAAAAATCAAAAATCTAAATACATGGTTAGATTCAGCATATCAAAGAACCCAATATATATAATTTTTGTTGAAATCAAACAAATTTTAATTTTGGACCCCGATTTGGACCAACTTGAAAACTGGGCCCATAATCAAAAATCTAAATACATGTTTAGATTCAGCATATCAAAGAACCCTAAGAATTCAATTTTTGTATGGACACAACATTCAAGCTTGATACAGCTCTGAATTTGGATTGTGATTAAATATTTGAACCAGCATAGGTTTCTGACACAGAATGAATGTGGTCTAAGCACTTAAAAATTTAAAATTGGACATTCACCTATTATGGTCCAATATCCAAAATCTAAATACATGGTTAGATTCAGCATATATATCAAAGAACCCCAAGAATTAAATTTTTGATGAAATCAAACAAAGTTTAATTTTGGACCCCGATTTGGACCAACTTGAAAACTGGGCCCATAATCAAAAATCTAAATACATGTTTACATTCAGCATATCAAAGAACCCCAATAATTCAATTTTTGATGAAATCAAACAAAGTTTAATTTTGGACCCTTTGGACCTCAAATGGACCAATTTAAAAACGGGGCCCAAAATCCAAAAACTAAATACACGGTTAGATTCAGCATATTAAAGAACCCCAAGAATTCAAGAATAAAACCCCATTGAAATTGGTCAAGAAATAAGCAATTTATATGAAGTATCTTCTTTTGCACAATACTGTGCAATTAAATATTTCTTGCTATTGCGCAATACTGTACAATTGACAATTTCTTGCTATTGCGCAATATTGTGCTTTTGGATATTTCTTGCTATTGCGCAATACTGTGCAATTGAAGATTTCTTGCTATTGTGCAATACTGTGCAATTGAAGATTTCTTGCTATTGTGCAATACTGTGCAATTGAAAATTTCTTGCTATTGCACAATGCTTATTATATAATAATTTACACATCCTGTTTGGTGTGTATCTCCTACCATATCATTATTATTTGCTTTTAAATATAAATCAGAAATAACCAACTTAAAATGGAAAATTTTAAAAGAAAAAAAAAAGGAAAAAAAGAAAAAAAAGGAAAAAAAAAAAAAATCCCCCCCAAATTTTTTGAACCCCCTTATGATTCATCGTCCCCAAACTCAATCCCAGCCTTCCCTTTGTGGTATGGTACCTTGCAGTACAATTTCAGAGAGATCCATACACTTGAACACAAGTTATTGTCTGGAAACTAGAAAAATGTGTTTTTGGTCCCTTTTTGTCCCCAAATTCCTAAACGTTTAGGGCAATTACCCCCAAACTCAAACCCAGCTTTCCCTTTGTGATATGGAACCTTGTAGTACAATTTCAGAAAGATCCATACACTTACACACAAGTTATTGTCCTGAAACTAGAAAAATGCTTGTTTTTTGCCCCTTTTTGGCCCCTTATTCCTAAAATATTGAGGCAATTACCCCCATCATCAATCCCAGCCTTCCCTTTGTGGTATGGTACCTTGCAGTACAATTTCAGAGAGATCCATACACTAACACACAAGTTATGTCTGGAAGTTACAAAAATGCTTATTTTTGGCCCCTAATTCCTTTACTGTTGGTACCATAACTCCCAAAATCAATCCCAACCTTCCTTTTGTGGTATTGAACCTTGCGGTAAAATTTCATAGAGATCCATTCACTTAAACTAAAGTTAGAGTGCGAAAACCAATGTGTCTTCGGACGACACCGGACGACGCCAGACGACGACGACGACGACGACGACGCCGACGCCAACGTCATACCAATATACGACCACAAAATTTTTTTTGCAGTCGTATAAAAATGTGTTTTTTGGCCCCTTTTTGGCCCCAAATTCCTACACGTTTAGGGCAATTACCCCCAAACTCAAACCCAGCTTTCCCTTTGTGATATGGAACTTTGTAGTACAATTTCAGAAAGATCCATACACTTACACACAAGTTATTGTCCTGAAACTAGAAAAATGCTTGTTTTTTGCCCCTTTTTGGCCCCTTATTCCTAAAATATTGAGGCAATTACCCCCATCATCAATCCCAGCCTTCCCTTTGTGGTATGGTACCTTGCAGTACAATTTCAGAGAGATCCATACACTAACACACAAGTTATGTCTGGAAGTTACAAAAATGCTTATTTTTGGCCCCTAATTCCTTTACTGTTGGTACCATAACTCCCAAAATCAATCCCAACCTTCCTTTTGTGGTATTGAACCTTGCGGTAAAATTTCATAGAGATCCATTCACTTAAACTAAAGTTAGAGTGCGAAAACCAATGTGTCTTCGGACGACGCCGGACGACGCCAGACGACGACGACGACGACGACGACGCCGACGCCAACGTCATACCAATATACGACCACAAAATTTTTTTTGCAGTCGTATAAAAATGTGTTTTTTGGCCCCTTTTTGGCCCCAAATTCCTACACGTTTAGGGCAATTACCCCCAAACTCAAACCCAGCTTTCCCTTTGTGATATGGAACCTTGTAGTACAATTTCAGAAAGATCCATACACTTACACACAAGTTATTGTCCTGAAACTAGAAAAATGCTTGTTTTTTGCCCCTTTTTGGCCCTTAATTCCTAAAATATTGAGGCAATTACCCCCATCATCAATCCCAGCCTTCCCTTTGTGGTATGGTACCTTGCGGTACAATTTCAGAGAGATCCATACACTTGAACACAAGTTATTGTCTGGAAGTTACAAAAATGCTTATTTTTGGCCCCTAATTCCTTAACTGTTGGTACCATAACCCCCAAAATCAATCCCAACCTTCCTTTTGTGGTATTGAACATTATGGTAAAATTTCATAGAGATCCATTCACTTAAACTAAAGTTATAGTGCGAAAACTAATGTGTCTTCGGACGACGACGACGACGCCGGACGACGACGACGACGCCAACGTCATACCAATATACGACCGCAAAATTTTGCGGTCGTATAAAAATGTAACTACGGTGATAAATTAATAATCTTTAATAATAAGTTTATTCAAAGGATCAATAAGTGTTTATATATACCGTATCTAGATTTACGGAAAAGTCAGAAGTGTCAATCTCACTGAACAGATTGTCAAAAGTATGCAATTTATCTAAAGCAGCAATTTACAATTATATGAAACACCAAAAATAATTAATTCCATTACTTGAACTGCAACTCATATATCTATACATACTGGTATACTTGATATGACATCGGACAATTCACTATGTACTCATTTGATGATTTAGTCACAAGAGAAAAAGTAGCTGATCCAATATTCAAAATGGCACACTATTAAAAGTATACACACTATGAAGAAAATATTTACGTAAAGTGGTATTGCAACAGATGAATCTGGGTAGCATGCAACAAAACTTCTTGGACAATACATGATAATAGTCTGCTATTATTGATACTATGTTCAGAAATACTCATTACATAAGCGTTTGATGACTGATGGCAATGTCAAAGCATTAAAGCAATTATCTTTTGAAATTATAACTAGGGTAATGTTTCTTTTGTCTAACAATAAATAATTTACAAAATCATTATTGTCTGACTTACGGCTGTAGTTTGATGGAAGTTCGTGGTTACCCAGCAGTATACATGTATTAACAACTTGTTTTTTTTTAAAGAAAATATAAGGTGATAACATCAGTACTGAGACGACAAGGACAAAATTATCAACCTAGAACAGGCTAATCATGACAGGAAACTGTTTACATTCTGGAAAATTTATAAAACACACTTTGATGCTACCAATGTCATTTAATCATAATGATAAAAACAACATGTTCTCAGCATAATCAGTACACATGCAAAATATTTTGTCCTATAAGTATGTGTACCTTTTAAATATTGTTGCAATGCTGGGAGCACAGGGCATTCTCTTTCTTCTTTGGCCTGAAGTGAAAGTATATTTTCCCGAAAGATAAAATTACAACCACCGTGTGATATACTGGATACTAGCGTGATCATCGTCGTTATGTCAAGATTGACTCCATTGGCTTCCAGGACATCACCGGTCGTTTCTTGTATCACTTCCGGCACAACCGTATCTGCGAAACTATATGTTGGTACACTTCCCAAAATCTTTAGCAGTATATCTTGTTTATTGGGACAGTTTGTGGACTGAGAATATTCCTGATATCTGTCATTGATATTTGACACATTTAAGATATTTTTACCATGATTCGATTGGATTGTTAACGACATACTTTTAAGACTGTTAGCATTTCCTTTCTCTATGCACGTCGTTTGACTTTCAATCAGACCAGAATATCTTCTCTTGTCATTTGACAGATCTCCAGGTTCAGATTGCTTTTGAGTAATCTCGATTTTCTCTAATTGTTTTAATCTATTATAACAAGATTTGAATTCACTTGCATTTGGAATGTGAAAATCACCATCCTCTTCATTGTCATTCTCTTCCTCGTCCGAAACACTCTTAATTCGATTGTAAACGTCATATTCATCGTCAGAGTAACTTCCGGAATTCTCTACCAGATGCTGAACGTCTGTAGAAACTGGTATTCTTTTCCCCCAAACTTTAACACCAATATCTTCAAGAGCAGTTGCCATGACATCAGTTACCTCGTTGTAAAATGCATAGTGTATTTCTGGTATGATAAAATTGATCGTATGTTCAGCTGCACATTTCAAATAATCTTCAGCTTGGCGGACAATATCCCGGTCTCCATACTGACCTCTACCTAATGTTTAAGTAAATGTTATATCAATATTACAAATTTTATATACAAATATTCAATAACAATTGGAACACCGCCGTATTAATGGCCTGAATAAAAGCTTATTCTTGTATTTTCCATGCACATATACAAAATTGTAAACCAAAGGCAGATATTGAAATTGATTTACTGTTACAACTAATATGTTTGAGAAACAAGCATTCTGTGAGTATTGCATGGCAATACATAGTCCCCTATCGGTTAAAAATTCATTGTAATGGAGCAAAACTACCACTAAATTCTTCAAACAATTCACTAAAGAAAAGGAAAAAAATCCAAAATGTCATTTATCTTAATACAATGTCTTTTACAAATCTTAAAAAATTAAAGAACCTTAGTGAGCGCGCTCACATACCCCACGTCCCCACATTATCATTGGAGAAATAAAATATGTGTAAGAAAAAAAAATTGTATAAGAAAAAAAAATTGAATCATAATTTCCTGTCAATATGCACATCTACATAGTATGTCCTTATTATCTACAAAGTTTCATGAAATTATGTTGTGTGGTTTCAGAGGAGTTGCGATGACAAACTGTTGCAGAAGTACATTGAAGCAAATAAGCTCAAAGGGGCGTAACTCATAGAAAAAAAAATGAATCATAATTTCCTGTCGATATGCACATCTACATAGTATGTCCTTATTATCTACAAAGTTTCATGAAATTCTGTTGTGTGGTTTCAGAGGAGTTGCGATGACAAACTGTTGCAGAAGTACATTGAAGCAAATAAGTTCAAAGGGGCGTAACTCCTAGAAAAAAAATTGAATCATAATTTCCTGTCGATATGCACATCTACATAGTATGTCCTTATTATCTAAAAAGGTTTCATGAAATTCTGTTGTGTGGTATCAGAGGAGTTGCGATGACAAACTGTTGCAGTAGTACATTGAAGCAAATAAGTTCAAAGGGGCGTAACTCCTAGAAAAAAAAATGAACCGTAATTTCCTGTCGATATGTACATCTACATAGTATGTCCTTATTATCTAAAAAGTTTTCATGAAATTCTGTTGTGTGGTATCAGAGGAGTTGCGTCGAGTATAATAAATGTGGATAGTGTCCACATGTGGACACAGATGATGCCCCCGCTTGCATATCATATAGTTATACGGTAAAAGTGACGTTACCCAAATTTGAACTTGATCTTGAGTTTTGAGGTAATAAGCATTGTGTGTAAGTCTCATAACATTTGGTTGAGGCTAACTTAAGTAGAGAACAGAAGCTAAAAATTCAGCAATTTTTCTATTTGTAAACACGCATAACTCTAGAACGGTTGTGTATAAGTTTAATAACATTTGGTTGAGACAAACTAGTTAGAGAACGGAAACGAAAAATTCAGCAATTTTATGTTTATAAAGGGACATAACTCGAGAATGGTAAAAGTGTCGCCACCAAATTTCGTACTTAATCTGTATTATGTAGTAATAAGCATTGTGTATAAGTTTCATAACATTTGGTTGAGGCAAACTAAAGTTAGAAAACGGAAACAAAAAACTTGTATTTGATCTTAGTTTTGTGGTAATGAATATTGTGTATAGGTTTCATAATGTTTGGTTGGGGCAAACTTAAGTTACAGAATGGAACTAAAAATTTTGCAATCTTTCGATTTATAAAGGGGCATAACTCAATAATGGTTAAAGTGACACTACCCAAATTCAACTTGATCTGTGTTTTATCAGTAGTAGAAGTCAAAATTAAACATTGCATTGTATAAAGCATTGATTGTAGTTGATTTAACTTTAATCATACACAAAGGAAGATAACTCCAATTTTAATAAAATGCTCCGCTGGGCGCAGCTTGATACGACCGCAGAGGTCGAACCCTGAACAGTTGGGGCAAGTATGGACACAACATTCAAGCTTGATACAGCACTGAATTTGGATTGTGATTAAATATTTGACACAGCACAGGTTTCTGACACAGAATGAATGTGGTCTAAGAACTTAAAAAAATTTAATTTACCTATTCAAACCATATCATAATTATTTGCTTTTATATATAAATCAGAAATAACCAATTTAAAATGGAAAATTTTAAAGACAAAAAAAAAACCCAAATTTTTTTAACCCCCTTACGATTCATCACCCCCAAACTCAATCCCAGCCTTCCCTTTGTGGTATGGTACCTTGCAGTACAATTTCAGAGAGATCCATACACTTGAACACAAGTTATTGTCTGGAAACTAGAAAAATGCTTGTTTTTTGGCCATTTTTTGGCCCCAAATTCCTAAACGTTTCGGGCAATTACCCCCAAACTCAAACCCAGCTTTCCCTTTGTGATATGGAACCTTGTAGTACAATTTCAGAAAGATCCATACACTTACACATAACTTATTGTCATGAAACTAGAAAAATGCTTGTTTTTTGCCCCTTTTTGGCCCCTAATTCCTAAAATTCTGAGGCAATTACCCCAAAAATCAATCCCAGCATTCCCTGTATGATATGGAACCTTATGGTACAATGTCAGAGAGATCCATACACTAACGCACAAGTTATGTCTGGAAGTTACAAAAATGCTTATTTTTGGCCCCTTTTTGGCCCCTAATTCCTTAACTGTTGGTACCATAACCCCCAAAATCAATCCCAACCTTCCTTTTGTGGTGTTGAACCTTATGGTAAAATTTCCATTCACTTAAACTTAAGAAAGAGTGCGAAAACCAATGTGTCTTCGGACGACGACGACGACGCCAACGTCATACCAATATACGACCACAAAAATGTTTTGCGGTCGTAAAAAATTTACTTGATATTTAGAAGAAAATAAAAATTTTGCAATTTTTCCATTTATAAAGGGGCATTATTCTAGAACGGTTTAAGTGACGCCACCAAAATTCAATCTTGATCTGTGTTTTGTGGTAATAAGCATTGTGTATAAGTTTCATAACATTTGATTGAGGAAAACTTAAGTAAGAGAACGGAAACTAAACATTTTGCAATTTTCAATTTATAAAGGGGCATAACTCTTGAACAGTAAAAGTGACGCCACCAAAATTCACACTTGATCTGTGTTTTGTGGTAATAAGCAATGTGTATAAGTTTCATAACATTTGGTTGAGGCAAACTTAAGTTAGAGAACGGAAACTAAAAATTTTGCATTTTTTCCATTTATAAAGGGGCATAACTCTAGAACGGTAAAAGTGACGCCACCAAAATTCAAACTTGATCTGTGTTTTGTGGTAATGAGCATTGTGTATAAGTTTCATAACATTTGGTAGAGACAAATTCAAGTTAGAGAACGGAAACCAATTTTGGGACGTACGTACGTACAGACGGACCAGGGTAAAACTTGGGCATAAAAAATGCGTTATTTTCCTCTTAACAGAAATCTAGTAATTATAAAGTATTTCATCAAAAATTTAATTCTAGGGAAAGTTAAATAAAATGCTCCTCAGGGCGCAGCTTGATACGACCGCAGAGGTCGAACCCTGAACAGTTGGGGCAAGTATGGACACAACATCCAAGCTTGATACAGCTCTGAATTTGGATTGTGATTAAATATTTGACACAGCATAGGTTTCTGACACAGAATGAATGTGGTCTAAGAACTTAAAAATTTTAAATTGGACATTCACCTATTATGGTCAAATATCCAAAATCTAAATACATGGTTAGATTCAGCATATCAAAGAACCCCAAGAATTAAATTTTTTATGAAATCAAACAAAGTTTAATTTTGGACCCTTTTGACCTCAATGTGGACAAAGTTGATAACGGGGCCCAAAAATCAAAAATCTAAATACATGGTTAGATTCAGCATATCAAAGAACCCCATATATTCATTTTTTTTTTAAATCAAACAAAGTTTAATTTTGGACCCCGATTTGGACCAACTTGAAAACTGGGCCCATAATCAAAAATCTAAATACATGTTTAGATTCAGCATATCAAAGAACCCTAAAAATTCAATTTTTGTTAAAATCAAACTAAGTTTAATTTTGGACCCTTTGGACCTTAATGTAGACCAATTTGAAAACGGAACCAAAAATTAAGAATCTAAATACACGATTAGATTCGGCATATCAAAGAACCCCAATAATTCAATTTTTGATGAAATCAAACAAAGTTAAATTTTGGACCCTTTGGACCTCAATGTGGACCAATTTAAAAACGGGGCCCAAAATCCAAAAACTTAATACACGGTTAGATTCAGCATATTAAAGAACCCCAAGAATTCAAGAACAAAACCCCATTGAAATTGATCAAGAAATAAGCAATTTATACGAAGTATCTTCTTTTGCACAATACTGTGCAATTGAATATTTCTTGCTATTGCGCAATACTATACAATTGACAATTTCTTGCTATTGCGCAATATTGTGCTATTGGATATTTCTTGCTATTGCGCAATACTGTGCAATTGAAGATTTCTTGCTATTGCGCAATACTGTGCAATTGAAGATTTCTTGCTATTGTGCAATACTGTGCAATTGAAAATTTCTTGCTATTGCACAATACTTATTATATAATAATTTACACATCCTGTTTGGTGTGTATCTCCTACCATATCATTATTATTTGCTTTTAAATATTAATCAGAAATAACCAACTTAAAATGCAAAATTTTAAAAGAAAAAAAAAATGAAAAAAAGAAAAAAAAAGAAAAAAAAAATCCCCCCCCAAATTTTTTGAACCCCCTTATGATTCATCACCCCCAAACTCAATCCCAGCCTTCCCTTTGTGGTATGGTACCTTGCAGTACAATTTCAGAGAGATCCATACACTTGAACACAAGTTATTGTCTGGAAACTAGAAAAATGCTTATTTTTGGCCCCTTTTTGGCCCCCAATTCCTAAACGTTTCGGGCAATTACCCCCAAACTCAATTCCAGCTTTCCTTTGTGATATGGAACCTTGTGGTACAATTTCATAAAGATGCATTCACTTACACACAAGTTATTGTCATGAAACTAGAAAAATGCTTGTTTTTTGCCCCTTTTTTGGCCCCTAATTCCTAAAATTTTGAGGCA